AAAGAGAGAGTGAAAGAAAAAGAAAGAGAGTGTGCATGAAAAGAATGAGATACACATGGCTTCCAAACTAACTTAGAGTATGGTACACATGGCTTCCAAACTAACTTAGAGTGTAGTACACATGGCTTCCAAACTAACTTAGAGTGTAGTACACATGGCTTCCAAACTAACTTAGAGTGTGGTACACATGGCTTCCAAACTAACTTAGAATATGGTACACATGGCTTCCAAACTAACTTAGAGTGTGGTACACATGGCTTCCAAACTAACTTAGAGTGTGGTACACATGGCTTCCAAACTAACTTAGAGTGTAGTACACATGGCTTCCAAACTAACTTAGAGTGTAGTACACATGGCTTCCAAACTAACTTAGTTATTGAAGAGCTCTTCTCCATTATGGTTGATGCTCTTCCACTGCTCTTGTTTTCTCTATCTTTTGTGAACATCTGCATTTTAATGGCTTCTAATATCTCAATTAGGTCAAGGATCAATTTCTTTTTTTGTTTTTTTATTTTTTTTGTTTTTTTTGTTTTTCTTTTTGATAATCATTCTATTTTGGTAGTTTGAATAAAAGTTATTCTTAGGAATTAGAGAATGATCATATAGTCAATACTAATGATAACAAATCTATCTTGTGATTCTGATAGGATAAATTAAGTTTTATATTTAAATATTGTATTGAACAGCACAGTGCTAAAGTTAAACATGTTACTTCTTAATTCATGATTTCATTGATTTTACATGAAGTGAGTGTGTAGATCAACATTCAATGTTATATATTTCTATTAATGCATGTTGTAAAAATAAAAATAGTACTTCTACTCTTTCATTTTTGGTTGTCTGCAACTAAAAATCAAGTATGCAAGCATTGGGTGTGTATTGAAATAAATAAAATTGAATAGTACGAATTTATCAAAATAAAAATAAAAGAATAAGCTGCAAGGTAAACAAGACTCAAAGAAAGGATTTGATAAGATTAATTTTTTACTTCAATTATATTTAACACATATATTTTTTGTTATTTTACAACATATTGTGTAAGCTTTCAATATAACTTATTGAGATTTTAAAAGAGTATTTTAGTAGAATGCAGATGTTTCTAAAAGAATTTACCAAGTTTTATGAGATTGTTGAGGATTTTAGTAAAAAATTGGTTATCAATGTCCATATGTATGATTCTCTATCTAAAAAAATACTTTCCTGGGACACACAAGTTTCCTTAGTGTTTTGAATAAATAGATATATATATATATATATATATACATGGAAACATGTCATGAGTTGAGCTTTGCTGATGCACTTGAATATTTTATTGAATGTAGTAATTACTTACATTTTCTTCATGATAACTTCCAACCATCTACTGTAAAATAACAAAGCCATAGTTGTGCTAAAGTTTTAAAAGCCAACAGCCCTAGCATACCTCATTATGAAAATACATTATGTCAGTATTTCATTTTAAGTACTGTTGTTTTAGTAGAGGTTGGAGATATTCTTGTAAAAATGTACATTGAAAAATAGTAAATATGTATGTTTTAGTATCTATATATATATATATATAGATAGAAAAATATATATATATATATATATATATATATATAAATTTATTTGTTAATTTATTTGTTAATTTATTTGTTAACACATATATATGTATTAATTAAGCATATCTTTGAACTTATTTTAACTCAGCTACAAATTGTGCTTTTGGCATTGTGACAAATGTGATTTGATATTTACTATGCTATATATTTATTTTTATATTATAGATTTTTTTGCTGAAAATAAATGCTTAAAATATATTAATGAAAATTCCCACAAATTTACACACCATGATGTTGCTACTTCTATATAAGAAAATATTTTTTGATATTATACAATCAGTGATATAAATTTATGTCGTTAGAAGATGCAAAATTCTTCCCAAACACATTTACTTCATTTATTTTTTGATGGCTGTTACTTATTAATTTATTAATGTTTTAAATTATATTACGTTCTCAAGAGAGTTTATTTTGCTATGTTTAGAGTGTGACTGCTTGAAATTAAAAAAATGTCCACATCGATTCTTTTTGCAGAATGAATGTGTTTTTATATATTTTTTTCACCTACCAGCTGTGAAACAGAAACAATTACAAAAATTGTTGCATTAGAAGCCTTCTTTATCTCCTGATTGTTTATATCCCTAAGCTTACTTATCCTTCAGATAATGAGATAATAATGGTGTATTACTTGATATTTTATTGACTTCTGAGTTTTACTGTTTTAATATATTAGCAATCTACAATTTCCAAAATTATTTAACATATTAACATAGTTAATTTTTCTTGTTTTGTATAATTTTACTCTTTTAATTTTTTTATGTATATAGTAACTTTTAATTTTTTGGAATTTATAATTATTAACGTTCTTAATATTGGTATTTATTTTTTCGTGCAATTTAATTTAAAATTCTGATTCTATTTAGTAGAATATTAAAAATATTATATTTTTTTAATTTATTCAAAAACGGTGATAAGAAGAAGCAATAATTAATAGAGTTATTTGATATTTATTGATAAATAATATTTTCTTTTGATAACTTAATTGTGCTCTTTTTTTACTTATATTTCTTTTATAAATTTTAAATAATGCTTCACAATGGTAGTCTACATACTCTAGTGCCATTAACATGCTTTACATGATTGTGAAGACAATAATCTTTTTTATAGTAATTTCAAGACAACCAATCAATTTTATTATATATAAATACTTCTATAATATTTAGTTAAAGTAAACCAGTACATAGATGTTAGTTATTGTTTACAAAATTGGTTCCAAAACCAATTATTGTAATCAGATGAAATTTAACAATAGTTAAAATCTAACTAAACATAAGAAATATTATTCTAAATAATTTGATGTGTTCATCATTCCTTGAAAATTGATTTAGAGGCAGTTGGTATATGCAATCAAACCTGCCAAATCTGATGCTGTTATATCCAATATGCTGCAATAGCTGCTGCAATTTCAATCCACCAACTTGGTTTCTTAATTGATAATCAATAATTCTCAATACTAGATATTTAATAAATGCATTAGAAAAATATAGATTTTCAAAGTACAAAATTTATTAAGTTTTTTCATTCTAATAAAAAAAATCAGCTTTCTACATTCATTTGTTACAAACCTTAAGGTTGACAAAGAAAGAAGAATGTGACTGAAGACCGTTGAATCAAGTGACGATACTTTTCAACATTTGTTTCTTTATAGACAAGATTTTGTATCTTTTTCAATGCTTTTAGAACGAGCCTTGCACCATTTTCTATATACTCCTCTACAATTCTCATAGTATCTCTCAGCACCAAAGATTGAACATTCAAATTAAGTTGGGGCCCATGTGCTTCCATTTCTTTTCCTTCCTTCAGGATTTCTTCCTAAATAACAATCGCCAACTCAAGAAGCTCCTTGTCTATGAACTCATGATGAATCTCTTTATGATCTTCAGGATTCAACAAAATCTCAATAGACATGGAGTTCTTCACTCTATGAGTAGACATTTGGTACGTGAGCTCTTCTTCTAATGCTTATTCCTCTTCCTTTATGTTGAAAGCAAATAGTGTGACTTTATTGGAAGGCACATCTTATAAGATGTCTTCCACAATAAGCTAGTCATCTTTATGGTTGCAAGGTGATATGATATTTGTGTCTTTTGAGCTGTTAGAGATTGTCTTAGAAGAAATATCATTCCATGGTATCCTAACCTATTTCATTGCTTGAAGCTATTCCATGTTATAAATGTCATTGTATAATTTATCATCTATCTCATGGTCCATAACATATTAAAAATAAAAGCTCTCGTAGCAATTTTCCAAACAATCAATAATTCTAACATCTATAGGTCTTATTTTTGAAGTGGTATTTGGAGGCAAGAAGAGAATTTTAACATTTGTAAGGATGAGTTTCTTAAGTATGTGTTATGTTGCTTTGTCTTGAATGAGAAGAATAATAAAATTGACAACTTTCATTTTGGAATTGATATATTTAAGCCATTTCTAAAACAAACTCTAGTCAACTAATTTTTTTTATTATTGAAATAATAGAATCCAAATTCAATACTAGTCTTTTTATTAAAGCATCTTAATTTATTTGCATGGCAAATGAACAAAGGATCTAATTTATCACTGCCATCAACATTGTTGGTAAAGGCTACAAACAATCAAGTTTTTTCTTTTTTTATTCCCTCAATTTGCTTAGAAGTTGTGGTACAATCTAGAGCCATAGAATAAAATAATAATATTTTATCTATATTGTTAATATCATACAAAGAATATTTGTTCGGTTTTTGCATGATATTTGATGAACTATTGACTATTGTATCTATATTTGCTGAAGTGGCCTCTCCATGTGTGTGAAAGGATTTGAAGTTTTGATGATTCTAAAAAGATTCAAGCCATCTTTTGGAAAACTCTGGTTATTCATCTTTTGAAATGCTAAACTAGTTAGCAAATGTTTTGGCCTTGACTTGAATAAAGAAACTAAATAAGCGGAATTTTTATATATTGACATTGCAACACCCAATTGACCAAAGCATTATCTAAATCTGAGTGATTCACCATGCATTGTTATTTCATCTTTGAGTCTGCTAAGGTCATATCAACATACTTATTCTTTTTATTAAGAATTTCAAAAATAGTACTTTGAACAAGTACTTCTTTAGTTTTCAAATAAAATCTTATACAAATTTTCTCGTTTATATATATATATATATGTATATATATATTTTTGAAGGGTATTGTCTTATGTATGAAAGTTGTTAGTTCATGTAATTTCATGAACTCAGAATCTAAGTTGGTTTTGATCCTTCATAGTAAAAGGGAGGAAACAAAAGCAACTAATGGAATGCCAAGCGACAAAGAAGAAGAGCCAAAATTACTGAGAAACAAAGGCAAGGAATTACACTCCAGACGCACGCCCATGACGCCGCGTAATGCCCTGGTCAAGGAAGGCACATAAGAAGAACAAGAAAGGCACCACCTCGTCCTCCCCTTCCACACCGTAATGACCCTCTACCTCCTGGAGAGTGGAGGGAAGGAGGCTCCGATTGATCAAGGATTCTGCTTCGACATCTCTCTCTCTCATGTCGTCTTAATGCCGCAATTGGGTTCAATCCCCACTACCACCTTTACGGAGTTCGTTGTCAGATTTTATGCGGGAGGCCATGGCAAAGGTTCCTCCAGTATGGTGACGAGGGTTTAGACTGGCGACAGGGTTTTCGTCTCTCACACTGATTCGAGGGATTTTGGAGGGATGAATGTAAGCTGGTCACGTTGCAGGATTCATGGCGGTGTCGTGAGAGGTTTTGTAGTTGTGGGTTGTGATAAGGGAGTGGAGACATCATGGTAAGGGTAGGAGTGGGCTTGTCTCTGTGAGCCAAAGGGGAAGAACAGAGGACTTGCGTTTTTGGGAGGTTGTGAATGGTGGTGCATTGAAAGATGGCGGACGGTGGAACAGCTACAATGCAAACCAGTAACAGGTCTTACGAGGATGCAGTTGTTGCGATGAACTCTCTTATCACTCCCACGGCGGACCTGCCGCCGCGTGACCCTACTACTGGTGCTCTGAATTGGAATGCTCATTTCCGGTCCTTTTTCAGATTTATCGAGGTTTGTTAACGCTCTCTGTAGTTTTCACGTTGTAGCTTAGTCTTCAGGAATCTGTCAAAAGTAAATTAGTCGTCACGTGAACTACGTCCCTCAAAATTCTCAGCCTTAACAGTATTATCTAGTGCCTCACCGCTGACTCTCTCACGTTTGTTTTATTTTGTTGTTGTTGTTGTTGTTGTCGTCTGTTTGTTTGTTTGTTTGTTTGTTTGTTTGTTTGTTTTTTTTTTTTTCGTCTTCATTTAGAAAATGAATTTTTTTCATCTTCATTTTGTTTGAGGCAATGTCGCTTTCATGACCATCGAAGGATTTGATGGTTTCAGATATTGGAAATGAAGGAACCTCTTGCACGTCTTAGTGTAATTCACGTTGCAGGAACGAAAGGAAAGGTACGCTCTCTCATGAGCTTCCATAGAAGCGACAGTTGCTTGAATTGTCTTTACAGAGGGTGATACTTGCGTCGGAAGTTCACTTTTCTTACTGGCCTGTTGTACAATTTAGCATGATACAGATTGTTTTGCATGGATGCTTTATCTCAAGGCTTGATGCGATGTTAGTGTTGATTCTGTGTCACAGTAATCCTGCAGTTGTTTTCGGTCGTCCAAGTTTCCTTTTAATTACGTTTTCACTTTCAAAGGGTTATGGGCTCATTTGGAAGATGAATTCTATGTAGGAAATTTTGTCTGAAAGCCGAACCTCATCTAGTGGTAGGAGAGGTGTCAGTAATTGAATTGGGTCTAAATGCTAGGTTAATTTCACTTATAAAGATTCTTCTAGTATGAACCTTTTAGCAGTCTGTAACGTATAGGCGTAGTTGCACTTTTTGAATAACTGATGGAATGGTTATGCCGATGGCGGTTCAGGGGTCTACGTGTGCATTCACAGAGAGAATGTTGCGGGAATCTGGCTTCCGCACGGGTCTCTTCACATCACCTCATCTCCTCGATGTTCGCGAACGCTTTCGTTTTAACGGGTAAGTTTTTAGTTTAAACAAATTGCGCGGCAGATCCTTCTAATGTTTATGCATGCACACACGTTCAAGGCTGAAATAAATTAAAATATTCAACACAGAATCAGTAATTTTGGTCGAATATGTGTAGTGTTAAGCTGTGGATGCATTTGAGATGGTTTTTTTAATCTCCAATGTTGCAGAGCTGGTCGCCATCATTGGGGGATTGGATTGATGCCTGGAGTAGTTTCAGAAAAGTTAGCTCAGCATGTTGTATCTATCTATCGTGTCGGAAACTGTATTCCCAATCTAAGTTCCGATACACTCCTAACCCCAAACACATTAGAAGATGAAGATGTTCGACAGCCGTGTAAAGCTGCTTTTTACCACATTTATTTTGCAAATCACAGATTCCCCTATCAAATAAAGATTCGACACTTAGTTTCAGTAATTTCTTTTGTGAAAGGTGAGAGCCCTGTTTTATAGTGAAAGAGATAACAACACATCATGTGCATGGCCTACTGGTAGTGTTCTGAGACTCGTGCGAACGTGATAACCTGGTTGACAGTGAGATGATATCCAAGGATCGATTTCTTTATCACTTCTGGTGGTGTTGGGATCGTCTTCAGGTATTAAATGAGTTGGTTCCAAATATCTCATCTGCAGTCGTATTAGTAGAATGGCACAGATCTGAAATATTGATCACATTGTAGCTGCTGCTGCTTTGAACTAAGGTCCTGGCTATGCATCTCTGCTCATGATAGACGATACTGTAGATTGATCGCTGGTCTCTTGCCCTCATCTCATCTTATTTATTTGCATCTGGCATACATGATTGTCATAGATTTTGTCTGATGCACTTTTTCTGTTCTTGGGGATTTTGCAGGCTAACAATGCGGATTTGCCAGGATTTTTTCGTTTTTGCACTCTGTTGGGCCTACGCATGTTCACTGCAGAAAAGGTTGGTTTAGTGCCCCACTTTGGTCTCGTCTAGAAGATTAACAAGCTCATTCTGTGATTTTGATGATCTCAACTGTGGTTTTAAAAACTCCAAACCGTACGGAATAAAGACCTTGAGAAACTCTTCATGTACTTGACTTTTGAAGTATCGCAATACTGTTAGACTCTGTATTAATTTGTACTACGTCATTTCACCTTTAAGTATCACTTCCATTGCTAATTGGTTGTTGATGTATTCTTTTAACGCCACTATGTCGTGTTTGCAGGTGGATGTGGCAATTCTAGAAGTCGGACTTGGGGGCCGCCTAGACGCAACCAATATTGTAAGCTTCATCATCGATACTATAATATTAATATTTTGGGACAACTTATCGCAGTGCTTCTGTGATTTATGTTACTCTGACCGCGTTGGAGTGCACATAATTTATTGCCTCTTATCTTTCCCTTATCTAGATTCGTGTATTTGGTCTCGAACTCCGACTTGTGGGAGCTACTGCTTGGGAAGTGTGATCATTCTTTCTGGGTTTTATCGCCGATATTGTCTAAATCATGTTGTGTATTTTTAATGATCATAATCACAAGCAAATCTTTTTCTTCCAGGTTGAGTCTCCTGTGGTTTGTGGCATAGCATCCTTGGGATATGATCACATGGAGCTGCTCGGTATCTAGACTTTTGCCATGACCACAGTGTCCATTTATCTCTTTTAGTCATGCAAAAATTAGCGCATTAGGTTCATGACAATACATCATTTGTTCTACAAGCTAGATTTGTCGGGAAATGGCGATGTGCAAGGCCACAGTAGCTGTTTCCTTTCTGGAACTAAGGAGCTTGACAACTGGAGAAGATCATCGTAGGCTAATCATCGTGACACTTTTACTTCTGGATATTGCATTTTGATTGAATGTATGGTTGTTCACAGGGAACACCCTCGCAGAAATCGCATGGGAGAAAGCTGGTATCTTCAAGGTATTATTAATCATTTCTTGAACTAATACTGTACTTTTGTATGAAGTATAAAATGTGTGGCATACTTAGTTGGAATGAGTTATTTTTATTACGTACTATTTTTCCTGGAGAAATTCGCTTCTGAGTAGATATCAAGACCTGAAATTCTTTACGTTTCCATTTGGGTCGTCTAACCTACCGCACTCGTATTTCATATGTAGAGGTTTGAGTAACCAGAGAAGTCAAAAGTCCGTGTACGGTCCAAGTCTAATTATTAACTTATTGCATGAAGGCAGGTGTTCCTGCATTCACTGCTCCGCAACCAGAAGAAGCTATGGGCTCCCTTCAAAAAAGAGCTAGAGAGCTAGGGGTATCCTTCATCACCCTTGTCCACTGTTATTTGGCAAAAAGTTTCTATGGGTGTTGGGCAATTTGCGTTCTTCTGTTCTTTCATTTTAGCTTATGATTCCCACAATAGACTAATCATCCGTTACGAACAATTAGCATACTTCTTAGTAGAGGCATAATTGAGTTCATTTTTTTCTTCTGTGACTGAGTGCATTCAATTTGGTGATGATCCGGGTGACTAGAATAGCTTACAAATGTGTTTATCGTGAAGATAAGGCATCTGCTCCTGATTGGAATTAGACTACTGTTATGTGCTGTTTACATTGATGTACTGCATAACTTTTGAACCATGGAAAACATTGTGAAGCCTCTACTTGTCACTTGGTTGCAGATTACTTTGAAGGTAGCGCCCGCTCTTGAAGATTATGGTTTGTCCGATTTGCAACTTGGGTTGGGAGGTGAGCACCAACGTATCAATGCTGCTTTGGCTGTTGCATTGTGCAAGCAGTGGGTCATGACAAGGGCTCCCTCCGAGCAGCATAAAGAGCTTCAGAAGGTTTGTTCTGAATGTTCTGTGCTTGTTACTCCGTTAATCATATCGTTATATTTATGCACTCTTCGACGGCTAAACAATTCAGGATCCAAAGATAGAACAAACCATCCCTAGATGTTCCTGCATATCGTATCAAGGTGTATTGCAATTTAAATATCAACGACTCACAATGACTTATTGCAGATTTTAGGGGGTGGAATATTGCCAGACTCATTTGTCAAGGGTCTCCAGTTGACCAAGTGGGCAGGCAGGGCTGAAGTTATCCATGATCCTTCAGGACGTCTGTCATTTTATATAGATGGAGCTCACAGTCCTGAAAGTATGGAAGCGTGTGCAAATTGGTTCTGTTCAAGAATTAAACATGAAGAAACTACCGAGGTAGTGCAGTCGAGCAGTAATCCGGAGAGGTGGAATTCCAAAGGCTTCATTATGAGAAGGGCAAGTAAAAAAATAATCAAAATCCTTGGTCTTTGCTCCTTGAATCATGGGCTACTTAAAGACTAAAATAACCTTAGGCGGTGCTGACTGCCTTATCCCTGTTATTTTCTGGTATTTATTGTTGCTTTCAATGTTTTTTCTTTTCATAAGTTGTGTTTATGTAAATCTACAGGTTCTTTTGTTCAACTGCATGCCGAAGCGTGATCCTGTATTACTGCTGCAACCTGTCATAAACCTGTGTTCTAAAAATGGTGTGTTCTATCATTCCTTTACGCTGCTTTACGAAACACAACAGTATGCAATGGTAACCAAAGAAAGCTTATCAATTTTCCTTTCGCGCTGGAAATCACTAACTTTAATCTTCTCTGGCAGGATTTCCCATTCATGCGGCCTTCTTTGTACCACCTTATTCTAGCTACACATCTGTAGGCACCTCACACCAAGCACCTACTGTCACAGACGCAACTTGGCAGCACACATTGCAGCGGCACTGGGAGTCTCTATGGCGAGATAAGCTCACAGGTATTGTCGCAATACTCATGATCCTGGATCTCGCAAGGTTAAATTAATTTCTTGAATGTGCGATAGGTGTTGTAGAGGGTTCTGGCCATTCTAGTTCCTCATTCTGCTCTGTCTCCACCTGGTTCAGGATTAATAGAAGTGGTACAGATCACATAAGTGATTACCGCTTTGTGCAGGACAATTGTTGCAGCCCTAAGTTTGTTCTAACGTTTCTCGTTGTTTGCCTTGTAAACGTGCCTGTCGGATATTGCCCCATTGTGGCGAACAGTGTCAGTTGTTTACATCTTCGAAGGTATTTATATGTTAACTGTAACATCTCATAGAATTAAGTATCCGTGCATGTGTAGATGGATCTGGTTTTGCCTGTCTTTCCCGAGGGGAAAGACGTGAACCCGAGATAGAACTCTTGTCTACTCTAAAAGACGCCTCAGAGTGCAATCCGCAGCATGGGAACATGTTGGGTCCATCAAGTGCAGTGCTAAGATCACTGCCAAGTGCTTTGGACCATTTTCGCAATTGTTTGACCCACCACCCTCAGCTTCGGGTTCAGGTACCAACTCAAACCCCACAGATACACAAAGGAGGTTCATTTTTTGGATACTTGGCCACACATTTATGCGTGAGGAAGAGGCACTGGCTAGGGCCAATTGGAGTGAGAGTGTTTTCACTGTAAGTGATGGACATAGACTGGAGCTCATGTTATGTGTTATTTCTTTTCACCAGTGGGACCAAATCAAATTCACTGAGCCTAAGTGGTGCGTGTTGTGCAGGTGCTTGTAACAGGCTCGTTGTACCTGGTTGGTGACCTCTTGAAACTTCTCAAGCGTTAGAGTCTAATGTGTCCAATGAGAGCCTTATGGACTAATTGAATTATTTTGCTGTGAAGGATTGTCAGTGCATATTAGCCGCTTTGAACATTTAAATTAACTGCAGGCGTGTCCATGATTTAAAACTAATTCTTTAAAAGATGATTAACATACATTGCAAATTGTGCATCATTCTATTATTAGCATAGATTATAAATTTCAAGTCTAATAGAGTTTGTTGAAAATTGTATTTAAAATACATTATTTAACAACATTTTAAAATTATAAAGTAAGTCTATTAATAATGTAAGTTTGTTTTGAATTTTACATAATAAGAATAAATTATTAACAGACTTGGATGATATAACACTCAATGTCAAAGATAAGAGGTATCTGAGATTAGATTTATCAGTAAAATATCTACAAGCACATTAAAAAATAGAATAATAAAAATTGGTTAAAAGGATTTTTGAAAGATTAGATATTTGCTTACAAACTTCTTTTATATTTTCTTTATTAAGATATTAGTAAAACTATATATATATATATATATATATATATATATACTTATACTTATATATATATGTATTTTTATTATAATATCTTCTAAATTTTAATCTTTTATTTCAATTAGTTTTATTCAATCTTTACCAAAGATGACTTTGAGCTTGCTTATTCAAATCTTTTATTCCATAAAATAACTTTTTTTGCATGTTTGTTAGTACATTATATTTTTAATAATGGATTAGTTCTATGTTGTTCATTGTTTAATATATATTATATTTAATTATAAATATAATCACATCTATCAACTCTCTCTTTGTTAATTTTAATATCTTACTACTTTGGATAATTTTTAAAATAATTGAATATGTAAATATAAATATATATATATATATATATATATATATACTAATGAAAACTTGTGCCATTAGCTACAAAAATGATATAAAATTGACTATTCCTAAAAAAATGTCAACCAAGAAAAAAAAAAAAAAAAAAAAAAAAAAAGATTGATGTAAAAAAATAGAATCATTTATGTTTTTTCATTGTAATTGATAAATATAATTTTTATTTATTACAACTAAAATAGCCAATTTAAAATGACTTCAAGATAAATTATATTTTTTGTAGTATTTTCATCTTTACTATTTTTAAGATATAAGATCTTAATCATATTTAAAGAAGTATATTGTGACAAGGTAATATACAATTGTTTATGTCCAAATACATGGTTTCTAAGATCTATTCACACATTAACAATTGTATTTGAGATTTTTTAATGATTATTTCAAATCCCACTTTTATTGGAGATTTTCTTTGCTACAATTTAAACAAAATCTTTACAGATGATGCATATAATATGATCCATAGAAGAAAAGCCAATTATTCCTTGTAGTCTTCAAATAAAAGTCTTCCCTCTATAACTTCATCAATCAATTGTGTAATGACCAAATATGATCTATTTCAAAGTACTTGACACAAAGCAATGTTTTGTAACAACATCATAGAATATCTAACCTTGACCTCTTAGCTAAATCATGGCAATGTAAATGGACTTAAGCTATTCAAATATTTGATTAGATAGCAAGTATTATTATTAGTACCATCTTCCATAATTGCTATATTTGCATTGACATAAATATGTGAAATTTTAAAAAATCTTTTCATAGCATGCTTATTTAAATTATCAATATCATAATTTTGTATACATGAAATAGACTTTTGAATGAAATATTCATCTTTAAGTGTTTCTTCATTCAATTCCAAATAAATACCTTGAATAAAATCAATTGATATTGGACGTACTTTCATATGTTCTAAAAGAAATATAGTACTTTTTAATAGATCTATAATTGTTGATCCATTTCTAATCTGTAAAAGATAAATTATATTTTTTGTAGTATATTCTTTGGAATATTGCAAAATGAATTTTTATCATGGTGGAGCATAATTGTGAATATAAAATTTGTAATTTTTCCATCACTTAAAATTTGAGCTATAATTTTAGAAAAATCAACATAATTTTTTTTTTCCATCACTTTGAAATTTCATTGCTATTATATTATAGACAAATATTTTTTTTTTTACTTTCTATTGGTTCTTCCTAAAATATAGCTTTTCAAGTTTTTTATTTACTAAAGCAAGGATATCTAAGTATATACTATGTTATTCATCATTCAACTTTGGCACAAGTTCTTTTACTATTTGTTTTAACTCATCGCAATTTTATGCCATAGGCTTCATAAACATTCAATTAGTTATATTTTCATTGTAATTTCTTTTTCATCCCAACATCAATAGAAAATCAATAAGTATTTTTTTTGGTTCTTAAAAATATTTATCACAAAAAAAATCCTATAATCTAATATCTCTCTTTCTGTTATTGAATTACGTAAAGTCTTATTTGAGAATGTACTAGGCACTTGATTGTGAAAGGTAAAATGGAAATTATACTAATAATATCTAAAAAAATTTAATAGAATCCTAAATAAATTCTAATTTGTAAGTAAGTCATTTAAGTCTTATATTGTCAAATAGATATACGATAATAAAATATACTTGTTATAAGAACTTGATGGTATAAAATTAAAAATACTTATAGTAGGTAAGAGAATCAAGTTATTTAAATAAAGAGGTGAAAACATTAGTTTTGATGAAGAACAAAATCCATTATGAGATAATGAGATAGGAGAAGAAGAACAAATTAAAGACCCAGAATCTGACCAAGAAGAAAAATACTCTATATCAACATATTGAAGAATCATTGACACATGCCGAAGGATGTACACGTTGAGGGGTAGTGGACATTGTGATGTAATACAATTAATAGGTGAAAAGGGTGAAAAAATTATTATATCATAGAAGATCTTACTTCAAATATTATAGCAAATTATCTTAGAAAATAGAAAATAGTTTAAAAGAAAGTAAGACTAAAGGTGTAAATGCTATCTTTTTGCAAAGCAAGCTTCTACTTACTTTGCAAGGCCATAAATAAGAAAAAAAAAGGTATATTATAAAAATAAAGAATATGAGCATATATAGGAGCAAGTTAAAAGTTGATGTTAGCAAAAATTAACTCAAAAAGGCAAAATTTGATACTAAAAAAGGACCAGTTATGAACCTCGATCAAAATCAAATCCTGAGGTATAAAACTAAGTACCTACGGCAACTCTAGGGTTTTTTAGAAAATCAAAAAGTAGGATTAAAAATAAAACTTGATAAGGTTTCTTTTAACGCTGATTTTGAGTGATTTGAGTATGTAAATACTTTCTAAAAGCTTTGCAAAGTTATAGTTGTTTTGGATGATTCTAGAATTTGCCAACTAAAAAAGGTATTATGTTTTAGAAAATTTTGTGAGTTTGGTAGTAGATCTACAATTAAAATTTTAAAAACTTATGCAGTTAATTGTCTTAAGTATATGTTATAAGTTTGACCTTGATAAAACAATTGAATTGAGGCTATTGAATTTCAAGTAGGTTGAGGTCTTGAAAATTGGACTTTAAGGAGCAGTTAGGATTTCTAAGATCTTCAACAATATACTAGTTGGATTGGAGTGAAATTATTGTTTAAGAGTAATAGACTTAATTTGCTATACATATGTGAAATTTGAGAATATATGAAAAATTTGAAAAGGAGATATTGGTGCTGGAAGTTTAATATTCAAATTGGAATAAGAGGCTGGTCAATATCCGAGCAGATTTTAGGATTTTTCTTCCATTTAGTAAGTGTAATTAACCTCAAATTTTGTGTGTTTGTTGCTAACTTATTTTTTAAAAAGTGTATAAAATTTTAAGTAAGATCAATAGTTTAATTGATAGATATTAAGGTTCTAAATTGAGTTAGGATTAATTTGAGATGATTAGGTTTTGATTAGGATTTGGTTTAGGTTTAGTATTTTCTTAGAATTTAGGATTTAGGTTTTATTTAGGATTTACTTAGGATTTTGTTAAGATTTGGTTAGGATTTAGATTTGAACTAGGATTTAGGGTTTGATTTAGGATTTGTATAGGATTGAAGATTTAGGATTTAGAATTTGCTTAGGATCAAAGATTTGGTCTAAAGTTTGATTGTATTCCATTAGAATTTCAATTAAGGTTAAATTAGGACTTAGTTGAGATTCATTTAAGATATATTTGTGATTATTTTAATATTCCTTTAGGATTTCTTAGAGATTCTTTTAAGGTTATTATGGATTTTTTTTTGAATTCTTTTAAGATTTCTTATTGTTTCTTTTGTAATTTCTTTAAGATTTATTTTAAATTTGATTAAAGCTTATTTAATATTTTTAAGGTTTAATTAGAGTTTATTTAGTATTCTATTAGAGTTAGGATTTTGTTGTTGCAATTTCCATTCTACTTTCCATAGCCAGGTGTCTAGTGAATTCTTAAGCAAGACTTTAGGTAATACGACAGTAAAGTAGTTCATTACCAAGGATTTATGAAGAATTTAAGGATTTTTGTATAGTACTATTGTAGAATGGGAATATAGTGATATATCAAAGAAAGTATTTTTACATGAAAAGAAAAGTATCTTTTATATAGGTGGGATAAAATTATCTAAGAATGGATTTACTATACATACATAGCTTAATGACTTACAAAAATGGAAACAAAGAGGTGTACAAAAATGGAAACAAAGAGGTGTACAAAAATAGAAACAAAGAGGTGTACAAAAATGGAAACAAAGAGGTGTGCAAAAATCTGAAAAAGACCTAAAAAGAGTAAGTGTATCTGATAAAGATGCTAAAATAGAATATATATATAATATATTCTATTTAGGGATTAGGGTTACTCTTTGGAAGCCATTTGAACTTAAGAGGCTAAGATCAAAGAATTTAAGTTTTTGGCTATGGTTTTGGTGCAAATTTTGGATGATTTGGAGTTTTTATAAAAAAGATATAGGCTCTCAAATTTGGGATGTTTATTTTGTATCTATTGTCACTCTTTTGGACATAACGCACGCGTTTGGAAAAAAATGAAGGATCCATGACTAGGATTGAAGAGAACTTTGTTTTGACTGTACTTTTTGTATAATTTTTGATGAATTCTATACTTGGATGAAGAAATTATAGGAAGTTAAAGTCAACACTTAAAATCTAAGGGTAGTAAGTGATCTGATTTACCAGTGGTTGTATTTTGAGCCAAATCTTGAGGAATTTGATAAGATTTTG